CATGAGAATCTCTTTTAAATTGCAGGTGTTTTATACTGTAGCTTTTTATTTTTAAGAACATAATTCTTGCTTTGTGATGACAATATCACAAGTTTTTCCAATTCTCTTTTTTTAAACAATGTAAATATTAAGTATTTAATATGTAAATATTAAATGACTGCATAAGCAATGGGTCTAGTTAGAAATCAAATGGCAAATCAACATTACGTCTCGGGCGCCTGGGTGGCTCAGTTGGTTAAGCGACTGCCTTTGGCTCAGGTCATGATCCTGGAGTCCCAGGATCGAGTCCCGCATCAGGCTCCCTGCTTCTCCCTCTGACCCTCCCCTGCTCTCATGCTCTCTCTATCTCATTCTCTCTCTCTCAAATAAATAAATAAAATCTTAAAACACAATATGTCTCAAACAAAAGAAAAAAAAATGTAATATTCCAAAACTTATGGGATGCAGCAAAAGCAGATGTTCCAGTGAAATGGAATGCAAAAAATGCTTGGATTAAGGAAAAAAAAAAAGTTCAAATAAACAACATTACACCACAAGGAACTAGAAAAAAAGAAAACTTAGCTGAAATTTAGTAGAGGAAGGAAATAACAAAGAAAAATCAGAAACGAATAAAATAGAGCCCAGAATAAACAATAACTTAACAATGAAAGTAATGACCAGATTTCCCCCCCAAACAAACAAAATTGGCAATGCTTTAACTACATTAACCAAGAAAGAAAAGAGAGACGACTCAAAGACCAAATGAGAGATGGAAGACAAAACAACACTACAGATAACCTCAGAAATACATACTGTGATAACAGATTACTATAAACATTTACATACTAGCAAATCAGATAACTTAGAAAAAAAGCCACAGATAATTCCTAAAAATGCACAAGTTACCAAGATTGAATCATGAGTCTTGAATCCAAGAAATAGGAAATCTTCTTAGACCAATAACAAGAATGAAAGTTGAATTAGGAATCAAAAATCTCCCAGCACACAGGAGCCCGAGACCACATGGTTTCACTGGTGAATTCTACCAATATTTAACAAAACTATTAATAAGAATCTTTATCAAAATCTGACAAATAATGGAATAGAGGGAACACATTCAAAATCATTCTGTGAGGCCAGTATTACCCCGATACCAAAGCAGGATAAAAACAATACAAGGACAAAAACGTCTAGGGGCCCCTGGGTGGCTCAGTCAGTTAAACGTCCAACTCTTGATCTTGGCTAAGGTCATGATCTCACAGTCGTGAATTCAAGCCCCACGATGGGCTCCATGCTGGGCAAAAGGAACAAAAAAGTCTAGTTTGTCCAATATAAGTATTGCTACTCTGGCTTTCCTTTGACATCCTTTTGTGTGATAAATGTTTCTCCATCCCCTCACTTTCAATCTGCAGGTGTCTTTAGGCCTAAAATGAGTCTCTTGTAGGCCCAGGGTACTTAAATAATTTTAACCTATCTGTTTTCCTCCTTTCGTCTTGAATTTCTGAAATCTGAGTGAAACTTAAGATCCATGTTGTATTTTTGGTAAACATATTTAATTGATGGCGCATCTTGCATTCAACAGCTTCTTTGAAATGAGGAGTATTACAAAGACAGATAAAAAATAGGTGGATAGATTAAAGATATCACTGTTATTGTCTCAAACTACACTTATTCTGATATAGTTAATAATTAAATCACAAGCCAATAATTACATCAACAAAGGAAGCAGTGTACTTTAGGGAAGAGCAAGGCCAGCCCTTGGAGTTAGACTCAGTTTGAATATTAGCTCTTATCACTTAAGTAAGTTATTTTTAACATCTTTGAGCCTCAATATTCTCGCCTGTAGGATGGAGACAATAATACATATTTGATAAGGATTAAAATAACATCTAGTTAAGCCTTGGCACACAGTCGGTATTCAAATTTAGCAATGTGCTAAATTTTGTGAGGATTACAAAAGATAAGTGGAAAGAAAGAAAATTATAATTTTTGATAGTTTAGTTTGTATTAGGCTTTGTAGTTGATATTCTATGTGGGCTCATCTTACTTTTCCTAAAAACCTGAGGAAATTTTTAAAATTCTCATTCAACATATTTAGAAATTGTGACTCAGAGGAATTAAACGCCTTATCCAGAGTCAGGTCTTGCCCTGAAAGAACTTGTGTTCTAATTGGAGATATAAGTAATATCTACTTGAAGATCAAAGAAACTGTACAGTATAAAAGATGTATCATAAATGATTTCACTTATATGTGGAATCTAAGAAATAAGACCAACCAACCAACCAACCAACAACAGATCTTAAACACAGAGAACAGCCTGGTCGTTGCCAGGAGATGGGTGGAGGGATGAGTGAAATAGATGAAGGGGATTAAGAGGTACAAACTTCCAGGGATAAAATAAGTCACGGAGATGAAAAGTACAGCGCAGGAAATATAGTCTATAATACTGTAATAACATCGTAGGGTGGCAGATGGTGACTCCATTTATTGTGGTGAGCAATAAATATATGCGATAATGTATAGAACTGTTGCATCGATATGCTGTACACAGGAACTAATATCACATTGTACGTTCATTATTTAAAAAGTATGATAAGGGTAGGTATGGGATCTCTAATTGAGTAAATACAGATGATAAAGGACCAGGAATTTAGAAGGAGAATTTTCCTGGTTTAAAGTGTGTATTGATCAGGATAGGTTGCCTTATCCTGTAGCAACTAACAACTCACAAATTTTAGTGGTTAAAACACAGATTTATGTTTAACTCATGGCCCTCACAGGTTGGACACATCATAGCTTAGAAAACCAGGTTGATGGAGAAGCCATCGTGATTGGTGTCGTTGGTTACTGCACAAGACATAAAAGCTCTGGAGAGTCTTACAGTTAATTAAATTAATCAAGTGCTTAGGGATTGAAATGTTGTGGCCCGGTGTCACTTCCATTTTCAAGTTAACGGACAGAACTAGTAATGTCACCTTTGCAAACGCAAGGTGGGCGGGAAGCACATTTCTACCATGTGCCTGGGAAGAGGGCAATCTGGAAATGTTTGGTGAATGGCAGTAGTAATTAACAACATGTGATTCTTACAAGAGTCTAACATAACTTATTTTTAGTGATTTAATATTTTTTTAAATACTGTGTTTTCTAAATATTACTTCTGGTTGAAGATTGCACTATTGATAAGGATGAATTTTTGTATGTATGTGTGCCTATTACTTAAGTCAGCTACCTATGCACACGAGATGCCTTGCTCATAACCATTCCTGCTGATTATCTTTCAAACCTTTACTAAACACCTGTGCTTACTGGTAGAAACTAGACCTATCCAAAACTCTGCTTTTTATCTTGCCCTCTGAGCAGACATCATATTCCAGGTACTTGCTTATCCTAAAATGATTTCTTGAGAAGTTGCTGTTTACATAGCATTTAATGGCACCTTGGAAATCACAAAACAATACATAATCATACTAGAAAAATTTATTTTAGCATCTACCATCTATGTGGCTGCCTCAGCCAGAAGCTAAAGAGTCATCCTGAATTCTTCCCCCCTTCCTCACCATACATGCAACCCGTCATCAAGCTCTGTTGATACTGTATTTTTAAGACAACCGTCTGCGCATTGGAATCATCTGGGATATTTAAAAAAATACTGGTGTCTGGGTCCCATCTCAAGAGGGTATTATGTAATTGGTCTTGAAAAAGGTCTGACCGGTGAGGCTTGTATAAGTTTCCAGATGATTCTCATGGGCAGTCAAGTTTGAGATCCAAGATCAGTTCTGTCTACTAATCTCTATTCCCGCCTTCCACGTTTGGTGAAAGCTCCTTTAATCTCTAATGTGGATTATTTCAATAATCCCCCCTCTGGTCTCCCTGGCTCAGCCTGAGTGAGAGCCCCCAGTGCCGTGTTGTTTTTACACCCTTACCATCTCCTGTCAGGCCACTTGTATAGACTGTATCAATACTGCCTCTCACGCATTGTTTCTTATTTTTATTTTTTTAGACTACGAGCATATTACGGGCAGCAATTACGATTTGTTATATGCCTGACTTATAGTTCAGGATATGGCACATAAAGTGTGCTCAGTTAATTTTTTTGGAATAAATATGAATGTGTGAATGTTCAGCAAATCTGGGGCATTAAACCAGCACAAAAATGAATGAGACAGTGGACCCCTATAGAAGTATTAATGGTCTGGTGGGGGAACTGGACATAGCAACACTCAATGCAGTAGGAAAAAGGGCTATTATAAGAGATGGAAATGTTGTTTCTCAAGTTTGGGACTTAAGTAAGGTAGCAAAAAATACTGCCAAAATTATCCTGCTCTATGGATATTCCATGCTTTGCTCCCAGTAATGAGATCATTGATCTGCTATTTAAAATTGGAAAGGTGGAGAGGAATTGAGAATCGAATACGGGCGTGGTTTCCCATTTCTAGTCTTTTAAACATAGTCTTTTATGACCTGCTCGTTCCCAGATCACTTTATCCACCATTTCTTTTGTACCTGTGTGCCCAGAGGCTCCAGAACACCTACAGATTTCTGCAGACATCTGAGAAACCACATAGGCCAATGGCAAAATGCACGTATAAATTTGTCTGCTCTCTGCACAACTTTTGGCATCTCAGCTCCAAATCAACCTTCTGAGCGCTGGTCTGAGAAATGTCCCCTTTGCTAGCTGGCTTCCTGTTAGGTTCTGCCAGTAGGGGGCACAAGAGGGAGAAGGTAAGGCAGAAGTTTAAGGGCCAGAAACTTGCTCCTTCTTGTCAGTTTGCCCAGCCTCCCACGGTTACCAGGGCAACAGCCCTTTGGTTGGCTTGAGCCTCCAACTTCTTTTTTCACATCTTGAACCAGCCTCCTGAGTGGCTCTTCCCACTGTTCATATATGAATCCCAGAGAAGAATTCGGATTGACTACTCGGGTCGTGTGCCCATCCTCTGGGCCAATCGCTGTTTACAGAGCTAAGGGGTTCTATGATGGGTGGGGCTTCTGGGACACGCCCACCATTGTGGTCAAGTGCAGGGTCTACCTGGTACTGGAAGAAGAGTCATGAGAAAGGGTACTGGGAAGGTAAAAATATAAGCTACTACAGTCAACTATTAGGTTAAAGGGGAAAAATAATGTTTGACTTTCAAGGAGCCTTAGGTGTTGGATAAGCTAGCAGTTCCAAGTAGCCATAATTCCTCTTTCACACAGGGCTTCGGGGTCTTCATGCTACCGGACATTTACTGCCATACCGTGTCTCTAGGGGCTCGCTGGCATGCCCGGATTGGCACAGGTTCCAGAGGTTACGGTCCCATTGGGGCTGGGTACATACAGGCATGTTCAACATGCTAAGGAAGCCAAGAAGCATGAATAAAGAGTGGCTTGCTGGAATCCAGAAAGGCTTTGGAAGTGTCATTTGAGTTGGATCCTAAAAAAAATCAGCAGGCATTTAGCAGGCAAGGAGAGGGAAAGTGCAGTGTAGCGGATGTTCTGGGTTATGAAGATACACGTGCAGGAGAGACCAAGGCATGAAAAAGGCCTCATGGGTTTTGGTTTCGTGTGGCTGAGTATAACATGTATGGGGGTGGGGGTGGAGGGTAATACGTCTGGAAAGACAGATTGTGGCCAGATTGTGATGAGCCTAGGATGCCATCAGTTCTCTCAGAAAACATCTGCTTCCCGTGTGCTGGCCAAAGCTACAACCATTTTCACACATGCTTCATTATGGGACTCCCTTTTTATGAATGCCTTGGAATCAGTTTGCTTCAAAAGGTCCGGTCCAGGGAGATGACACCAGGGAGGTGAAGTGCGTAGGTATGAGAATGGATGCTTTCAAATTTGTTACCCGAGCACATTTCAGAGTTCGGTAAAATATCTTCAACCTGTTACAAAGTACAGCAAGCTTTTCATCCTCTGCATTTCTGCACCTGAGTGTTGCCTCGCCCACCGCTGGGTCAGGCTCCGTGAAGCCCCAGAAATGGAAGCAGGAAATCGGGCTGGGAAATCAGGGAAGAGAACAAATCCGCCCAAGGCCGACTCATCTGAAAATTGAAATATGTAAACAAAGTTTAGCTGCAATGAAGCAGTTGGAGTACAGACCGCCGGAGGCACTGGAACAATAATGAGGCTGAAAGGGATGCAGGAGAATATACATTATTTTTAACTAAAATATAAAGGACAAGACAGAGGGGAAAAAAAAACTAGCCTTTTAGAAATGTGTTAGGGGAAACATTCTCACTGTCCCCACACTGCTGCATATCTTCCTGAACCGCTGACAGCTGATTTCCCCAGGCTGGGTTTAAAGCTGTTTATGATTATTTTCACCCTGCTTTTATGGTTAATTAATTATACCTTTGCCTGGTACTGCCACCAGTTTGGGAAGTACAGACAGGAGAAAGAGACGATGATTAAAAGCTGCATGAAAATTCACAATTGCCTGAGCTGCATGGTGCAGGAAAGGCAAGGATGAGTTGAAAATAGTGCTGGCCTCAGGACCAGGAGGGTTTGGCCACTGGCCAAGTGCGGGAAGGGTAAGAGAGTGACCACCTCGTCCTGGCTGGCCTGGACTTTTCTGGTTTGAAAACTGAAAATCCCACTTTTAGAGTGCTCCCTGCCCCTGGCAAACAGGGTTGGTCACTCGAGGGAGGGCTGGAGATCTAGCTGACTATAATTCGATAAGCCAGGTAAGGGGGGCCAGTGGTTTGGGGTTAGGGAGGGCCGCCCCTGGAAATGGTGCAGAGATGTGAGGGTCAGCCTAAACCGGAGCATGGTGCTCTAGGAAGCACCCAAATAGGCAGTCAGAGAGATTGTAAGAATGAACAAACTGGCCTCAAGCCTCAAGAATCCAGGACAAATAATATTTATCAGTCCAAGCAGGTAACCCACAGTCTTGGGTGAAGTGGGACTGGGGGGTTTATATTGGGCTAAAGTTCTAGGGAAAGACTTTAATTCTAGAACAAGGGACTGGTTATACCAGGAAGGGACACATTTGTGGAGGGAGGGTATTGAATTTCTAGGTTGGTTTGCAGGGAAAGAGCAGAAGTTTGGATAACTTAGAAGTGTTTGTTAGCTTCCCATTGTCCTGAAGATAAAACCCAAGATCGTTGTTTGGAAATGGAGAGCTCTCGCACCTGTTCTCAGCTCTTTTCTTATCTCTTCATTCTCCCACTCTGGTCATATCAAATGATGGTGGTTCCTCAACTGTACCAGGTTCTTTCTCCCCTGGCCTTTGTGTATGGTGGTTTCTCTTCCTAGAGTGTGTCTTCTACTCATACTAATTTCTTCTGCCTTTTAGGGTTCAGCTCAAATGTTTCCTCCCCTCCTATCCTACCCCCAATCATTCCCTGAATTCTTATTCTAGGTTATAGCCTCTGAAGAGAATGCAGGCAGACTACTTTCCAGTTTTGCTAGAGAAGTTCCAGACAGCCACAAAAATGCCCCCGAAGGTCAGACTCACCTCCCGAGTCCTCATGGGACTCACTATGGTCTGTAGGAATAGTTTCAAATGAGCGTAGATAACTGCTGATTGCCCTATTGCAGTCCAGATCCCTTAAATTTATCAACAAAGCATTAAGGCTCTAGTTGAGTATTTTTTCTCAGCACTATTAATATTTTGGTAGGGATGACGAGGTGGGGAGAGTGAGTGAAGGGGAGCCTGTCTGCATTATAGGAGGTGTAGCAGCATCTCTGGTCTCTACCCTTTAGATACCAGTAGGATCTTTCAAGTTATGACAACGAAACCAGACATTGTAGAATATTCCTCAGAGGACAAAATTTACCCCATGTTGAGAACTACTGCTCTGGTCTAAAGGAACATCCTGTACAACATTGGTAGGACTCTTACAGAGCAGAATCCACATACCTTGCACCCAAGAGCCGTTAATATACATGGCACATGGGCTCGATGAAGACCAGTAGAGAACTTCAGTGAGTATAATACTGCCTGCCCCATGTGACTTGACCAGATAACCTATGCTCTATCTCGGTCCAACCTCACAGCCCTTTTTTGCTATTTAAAAAATGGATCCTCCCTCTTTTCACTGTAACATTAATCTAATGGAGAAGCCGAGATTGGAAATTCTATACTGAGTCTATGGCTTAGTGTATGTGTGGGTCTCTTCTAGATTCTAAACACCCTAGAGTACGAGCCAGTTTCTCTCTCTTTTTTTTTTTTTTATGATTTTGGTATTCCTCCAATCCAGAGTCTAGAATGGAGCTTTGTATGATATAGGCAATTCAATAATATTACTCAAGTCAAAGTTAAAAGTCCAAAGAATATTTGGAAGCTTTGGTGACCAGGAAACAAGTTGGAGCTAACTCACTTGATCTAAGGCAAGAGAAAAGCCACTTTTCTGTGAAGTAAGGGGTACTCAGTAACCAAGGCTACTCTTTGGACAGAATTATAGGCATTGCTTGGGAGTTGTGAGAAATGCAGAACCCTAGATCCTCTGAATCAGAATCTTCATTTTAAGAGGTCTCCAGGCGATTCCTATGCACATTAAGCTTTTAGAAGCATGGTTTTATATCACAGGCTCCATATCCCTGCAATCCATGGCCAAGTCTTTGACTTACCAGCTGTGCAGCCTTAAGCAAAGCATTTAACCATAGGAGCCTCACTGTTTTTTTTTTTTCTGTAAAATGGGCGTTTTGATAGATATTACATGCTCAGATTGTGAGGTTCAAATTAAAAAAAAATAAAAGGAAAATGATCACAGATCACAGTGCCTGACTTTATACAGTAAGAGTTCAATTGCTATTATATGTTGTTATTCTCTGAAATTTCTTTTTACTCAGGAAAAATCAGAGTCTGGACCTTGAACGATCCCTCACCTGCTATCTAGCCCATAATTTGAAGTTTGACCATATCATTTCCTCTTCATCCAGATGTTGAGAAATATCAAGCCAACCTTGGTTAAAAAGTTTTCAGCCTTTTATAAATGTGATCTATATTTCAGAAGTGTGTATCTTGGGAACAAAACTCTGTAATAAGGTTAATGAGAAGAGAAGCAACACAAATCTGTTTTCATCACTGTTAAACAGAGCTTAAATCACAGCACAGAGGGAAACAGCTGCTCTGGAAGGCAGCCTAGGAGCAGATCAGTAGAGGCTGATTATTTATTAATGAGAGGGTCTTAGTGGTGAGCCCTGGTGGAAAACCCACCAGACTCAATTCTGCAAGCCATCCACTGAAGAGGTGGTGTATACGAATCACTTGAATGATGTAAAAAAACTCAAAACAGATACTTTCCAGCTACCCTGGAGGCTGTCATGTTCCACTGCTCTCTTATCTGTTCAGATTAAGAAAATAGGATCCTTCAGTAAGTAAATGTGTGTTCTATTTAATTAAACTCACTGCCGGGCTCTGTGTTGGGGCTGGTCCTCACTCAGGGATTATTGGACTGTTATATCCTGCCTTCCCTCTCATTTCCCTCCCCCTAGTGCTTCTGTATCCAGCTGAAACTCAGCAGGAGCATCGGGATAAGTGCTTTAGTAGTTTCTTATTGCACCCACTTTTTAGATAAGGAAATCGAGGCTCAGAAAGCTTAAGATGCTTGTCCAAGATCTTCTAGCTTGGAGGACTGTGATTTAAGCCCAGGTTCTGGGTGACTCCATAGCTTACGTTCATGACCATGTGTGCAATATAACGTAGGTGTACTTAGTAAAAACTCACCACAGCAGTGGTTCTCAGCATTTGTTCTCAGACCAGCATCATTAGCATAATTGGGGAACTTGTTAGAAATGCGTATTTTCGTGCTCTGCCACAGACCCAGTGAATCAGAAACTGTGGAAGTTGACCCAGGGAGTCCTCTGATTGATTCAGATGGACCCTAAAGTCTGTAAGCCACTAGCATGTAGGCTGTATGCTAACCACTCAAACTTAAAAAAGAAAAAAAAAAAAAAAAACAGATTCCCAGACCTCAGGGAGTTCAGAGTCTGGCAGAGGAGACAAGCCTAGAAAAACAGTCTGAGTCATATTTTATTGGTGCGTTGCAAGCGCAGTGAGGAAATATGCATGAGAAACAAGGAAAGTAAAGATGAGCACAACTAACCTGGAAGGAGCAGGAAAAGCGTATTGGGAGAGGTAG